TTCACAACCAGTCGCGTATGCATCACGGAGGCTCAACAATGCTGAAACAAATTATGCACCCATAGAAAAGGAAATGAGTGCTATACTTTTTGGTTGCAGTCGCTTTCATGACTATATATTTGGAGCTAAAACTATAAGTGGAGACGGATCATAAACCACTGGTTGGAATATTCAAAAAACCGCTGCACAAACTTAGCCCTCATTTACAACGCATGCGCATGACTCTCCTTAGATACGACTTAGAAGTCATATACAAACCAGGGAAAGAAATGTTTGTACCTGATATGCTTAGTCGAGCCCCATTAATGGATGCTCCTCCACAAGTCAATGATGACAACGACGTTCTAAGTATCATAAATCAAATGCCCATTTCTGACCAGAAACTAGCTATGTTACGGAAGGAAATGACCCCACCTTGATAAAGGTCATTAACCTTGTCCTTTCATGGTGGTAAAATTGTAGGACACGCATTCCGGATGAAGGTTTAGACCTTTTCATACATTTCGCGATGAAATCACTTATTCTAATGGGCTGTTGTTTCGCAACAATCAAGTGATAATTCCTTCAAGTATGCTAATCTTAATAGATTACTATTCTAAATTTCCGGAGATAATCAGAATTCCAAACAAAACTGCCCATGCAGTGATATCAGCAACTAAATCTGTGTTTGCCAGAGAGGGAATTCCGGATAAAGTAATCAGTGACAATGGTCCCTGCTATGACAACCAGGAGTATAAAGATTTTGCTCACCAATGGGAGTTCCATCATATCCAAAATAGTCAGAATAAATTCATTTTGATTATGGCAAACCATACTCTAGCACCAGCCTTAGCTGTCTTCTTAAAAAACAGCTATGGAACAAAACAGCAACAACTATCAGTGTATTAGGCCACATTTTGTGTTCATTCTATATTCTGTATTCACCATTGGCTGCAAATTGTCTTTTTTTGTTTTTGACTTGTTTTATTTATTTTTTTAGAAAAGTTTTTATTTTTTGTTTTCTTTTTTAGATTGTAGTTTTTTTTTAAATTTCTTTCTGTAAGACCCTTTTTATCCTTTCCAAAGGATTTTATGCGTCTAATAAAAGATATAAATATCAAAATTAGTCCTGGTTATTCTCAATCAAATGGCCAAATAGAAAACGCTGTAAAAACTGTGAAGCGGTTAATGAAAAAAGCATTTAAAGCTGGCCAAGATCCGTACATGTCATTGTTAGAATACCGGAACACCCCCTTAGATGGAACAGATGGTTTTGCCCCAAGTCAGTTGTTAAAAAGCAGAATTCTCAAATCAAAACTTCCAACTGCTGAAAACCTGATCAAACCTCACATTGTTCCCCCTATGCTGAATAAATTAAAGGCCAGGCAGTGCAAGCAGAAATACTACTATGACCGCACAGCAAGTCATAACATTCGCCAACCGATTTCAGGACAGTCTGTAAGATTTCGAAACCCTCGGAATAAATGGAAATATGGTGTGGTAAAGAAAACACTACCACAGCCTAGAAGTGCGCTTGTTGAAACTACATCAGGAAAATTGTACAAAAGAAATCGCAGACACATGTTCCCAACATGTGAAGTCCCACCACTAGCAGAATTGCTTGATGATGGAGACCCACCTGAAACAATCGATAAACCAATTTCAGACTTAAATGACAAAATGGTTCAACATAAAATATCAAGTAGCATAAATGTTGGAAACATTCCAACTAAAACAAAATATGAACATGTTAAGGTTTGACAAGACATTACTACTGGTAGTGGTAGAGTGTCAAAAGGGAAAACCCAGTTAAACTTGTAATGTTTTCTTTTTGCAAATGATTGTTAACTGTTATAAGTTAATTTGTATTATGTATTGACTAGTTGAACAGTTCTTGCACTGTAATATAAAACAAACCATCACTTTTATATAACAAAGGACCACATGAATTCCTTAAGTCAAAGTGTAACCAAGTTCATTTGATAGGTAAATTTTGCAACCCAAGGTTTTAAAGATAATGTTATTTAAAATAGTTCTCAGTGAGTTTGCTTTCTTTGATGTTCAAGTTATGTAACAAATTAAAATACTGTCCTGTATATGATCTAGTGTATGCAGTCCAAGGACTGATTCTAAGTATTGTTAGCACATGTATACCATTCAAAACTGTGTATAAACTCATTATTCATAATAATAAGTATCAAGTGAAAAGGGGCATGTGATGTATGTTACATGGAAGCTATGTATTTAGCATGTAATACCATTATGTAATACTGACATCTACGTTCAGTTTGAGAAATAAAGTTACCCAGTGGTCACTGGTGG